ATTCAGGTTTAAGTCCCCACCAGTATAGAAACATACACACACACACACACATACACTTTCCTTCAGTGCGATCATTGCGGAAAGGCCCCAGAGGTGTTTGGGATTTGAAGTTAAATGGTTTAATGCTGATTCAATTAGATTAAATATGGATCAGATCAGATCAGTGTTTGATAAAAATGCAAATTATTGCAATATAGGCTACAAAAAGATGAAATAAAAAAACATTAAAACCATAATATTTTTGATAATGTAATTTACTTTAAAACAAATATTTGTGTTATTGCTCATTTCATTCAGTTAATTTTTCATATATTCATAACCTAGCACGCACCTTTTTTTGTATCTGCATATATTTTTCTGCCCATCATATCTGCTTACTATAGCTTTTTATGCCTAAAATGTGCAAACACTGATGAAAAAGGTGAAAGCCCAAAGATATAGCCAAATATTCAAGACTGAACACTAGGCCTACTATAATGTAGTGCAATAGCCCTGATAATATTTTTCCTTGTGAAGATAAAATAACAATAAAACCGACTTTGACTACAACTGTAAATATACTAGGAATATACGTTTTCATTATTATAACATTTTATGTATATTAGTCAAGTTTTTTTTAATTGAGCACAGGTTGTCTATTTCTTAAATTATGTGTGCAGTAGGCTAATTAAAATGAGATTTCTTGTTGTGCTTTGGGGTTAATTGTACATCATTGGTGCCATCTAGTGGATTTGTAATAAATACAGTTTCATTTTCGGCCACTAGTGGCCATTATAAATTATTAATCTAGAGTCTCATCCCTGGCTACATATAATCCCTTTAAGGACCCATAGGATGCTTAGACAACTAGTGCGCTTGACACTAGAATATGACCAGACTAGCTCTTGGGTTTCAAATGAGGGAAGGAGGTTTGTGCATGTAATCTATCAAGAGGGAAGCCAAAGCACTTAGTGAAACATCTTGGATGAAATCAATCCACCCTGAAATGAACAATTAGCTGATAGTGAGGCCTCTAATGACGGCTGTCAGCTACAGATGCTTCCTCTCAAGATGATACACTTAGCAATAAGAGTAAAAATTCTTGATATATGATATTCAGCTTTTTTTTTTTAGCTTGAAACGTTTAGCAATAACACTGTATGTATTCAACCAATATGCTGTGTAACTGCAGTGTTTATAAGGCACTCTGTTTACACAATATGGAACAATATGCATTGTGAAAAGTGCTTATACAAACAAATGTAATAGAAAAAGAATCTGCAAATATTATATATTATAAATATATTATATAAAATCATATTTTTCAACGCAGAAGTAAGCTATTGTCTATGAATGTGCGAGACTTCCGTTTCATTAACTGCTACAGGTAAATAGCTTGAAGAATAACAATGTGCAGTAAACAGTAAAACTATTTGCGCTACAAACCAGCGTTTTTATGATTACAATAATACTTTAAAATTATATGATAACAAATACCAGTTTGACTGTTTTTTGGACAAGTAAAATAACTGGAAGCGAATAACACCGGAAGTCTCACACATTAGGTAGATAATATTAATATTATCTGCATGGTTAAATGAAGTGTAAATGGCAGTTTAAATCAAATTAATTAATTGTGTCAAAGACACGTTAAATGATTTTTGCCATTTACACAGAAACAGCTTTTGAATGCTGTGACTCAAACTCTGAATGACTAGTGTTGGGGGTAACGCATTACAAGTAATGCGAGTTACGTAATCAGATTACTTTTTTTAAAGTAACTAGTAAAGTAACGCATTACTTTTTTAATTTACAAGAAAATATCTGAGTTACTTTTTCAAAAAAGTAACGCCAGTTACTTTGTTTTCCCATTTATTGACTGACAAGTCTCCTGTCCCCATATTGGGAGAAATCGGAAGTGCAGAGGAGTTGTGTGCGCTGTGTGAACATGATGTTACTGTAGTTCTAGACTAAATGTGAATGTGCATTAATTCATCCCACTCACAAAAAACAGATTTAGTATTCATCAAAATGAATTAAAACAGTGAAATGCAAACTCTGAATATGACGCAAACGTGCAATAATCAAATATGTTAAATAACACAAATGTATCTAATCCCATTTTATTAACCAATGTCTTTGCTGCTGACCTTTGAGGATCCAGTTCAACCATACTAATAAGCAAAAATGACTTTAGATAAACTATCAATTGTGCTTCATTGCTTTTTTTTATTGCTGAAAAGTGTTTCTTCTCCTGCGTTCTACTGTACAGACATGAATTTACTTTTCCTTCAGCCTGAGGTTTATTCATTACACTTTTTGGTGTGAAAGGGCTTTTACAGTAGCTATAAATAGAACTTCTTATATTAAAAATAATCAAGCCCTGTTCATATTTAAAAAGTAACGTGAAAGTAACGCAAAAGTAATATAACACATTACTTTCCATACAAAGTAACTAAGTAATGTAATTAGTTACTTTTTTAGGGAGTAACGCAGTATTGTAATGCATTACTTTTAAAAGTAACTTTCCCTAACACTGTGAATGACATCCGGTGGATTTAACAGAACCAGATGTTTAACTCCACTGTGACTCACATAGCAGCAGATTCATTTACAACCCTCAGCTATGCCTCTGCTGACTGTGTGTGTGTGTTAACTAATTTGTCGGACAGCTTAAAACACAGTCAAAATATGAAGAACCCTGAGACTGAGAAACTGGAAGAACTACATTTTATTTGTATTTTTTTCCCCTCACACATGGCTTTTAGTGAGAAGAATGATTACACAATGAAATAGAAACAGAAATATTTGAACACAAAGAAATTCCTCTAATATTCCAGATTCATGTGGCGTCGAGCGGCAAGGTTTGGAAACAGGAAAATGGAGCTCCAGGAGTGACTCACTGACAGATAATAAAGGAATAAAACCTCCAGCAGCTCTGAGCCATGCTTGTCTGAGTCACAGCAGGTTTCTGCATGTTTACAGCTGCATTAGGAAAAATGTTGCCCAATGACTTACAAACAATAGCTGAATTCTTCAAACCTCACAGGACTTGAGATCAGGACTCATTCCAACAAGAAAATGAGATGATTCTTACAGTTTGTGGTCTGTCCATAGTTTGGAAATGGTTTAAATGGGTCATTTTGATTTATTCTCTTCATTTGGGATACAGCTGGTAATATCATGGCATATACTTTTCACTCTTTATTCACATTGATAGTTCCGTATAAGAACCTTTACCATCCATCGAATCTTTCCAATGCACAAAAAGTTCTTTATAGTGGAAAAAGGTTTTTCAGATTATTAATTATTAACATTCTTTCACACTAAGAAAAGGTTCTTTCTCATCACAACTCTAGTGTATGTCTGCAAAATGTTGCAACTCAACCAAAAAGTTTCATTCATGCTTCAAAAACTACTTATTGTCAGTAAATTGACCAATACCACCAAAATGATTTTTTTTTCAATGTGAGCCATACTGATAAAAATGTTTTTTCTTTTTTACCATGGTGGTCAACCAATAGAAATGCTTGTATTACACAAATTTCATTTTTTTTGTTTTTTGTCTGTGCTTTTTTGTTTCACAAGTTTACTGGTGTAAAAACAACTAATTATAAATTATTATTACTTTACTGAGCCAAAGCAACTGAGCAAAACTGAACTGTTTGCAGAAAGGTTCTCGGAACCCAAAATGTTCTTCTGTTGCATTTTTACTGCACAGTACACAAAAAAAAACATGTTAAATGAGCAAAGAACATGGTAAAATCAGGATGTTTTTGTAAGTGCATGATCATTTCATATGTGCACAAATACCATGACAGTACTATGGTATTAAAACAGTACCACATTTCAGTATTATTGTCAGTGGATAACTTTCGCGCTGTCATATCCTCCTAGGACCCAGGCATAGACTTTTGTCCTCTGTAGAGGACATTATTATTTTAGTGAGACCATACATGCCACAGTTTTAAGTCTGGATGTCCTGTAAAGAGCACTTTTTTAGAGATATAAAATGTTTGGAGGTTTGATCATGAGCACTCCCACTCCTTGGTCTTTAAATATGACTGATATTGACAGAATGATCCAATTTAGCACTCTTAGGGAAATATGATAATGTTTTGTAATTATTATTTAAATCTGGCTAATTTTCAAATTGTTTGTCGTAAATAAACATCTCAGAAAAATGTTATGGGGTTTCAAGTCAGAATATGAATTTTTGTTATATATATAACAAAAAGGCATAATGGTTGTATTTAACCCAGCATTTTTTAGAGTGTAATATGCAAATTATATGCAATGTATACATTGTATAGAATGGTAATATCAATTTTTATGCACATATTCCATAAAGTACAACAGTAGCCTATCAAATCATTCTGTTATATCTTTCATAACATAGTTGAGAATTATCTTTGTACAAAGTTTGATTAAAAATAGCCTGAAACTGAAAAACTGATTGGTGAATGAAAAAAATAAATAAAACATTGCTTTTGCCTATTCATGCCATTTCATATCTTTTTTTTTTTTTTTGAATAACTTAGTCCTGGCGTCCACTACAAAGGACATAGAATGAAATATGCATAAAATATATTTTTTCAAAAATGTTTTCTCCATTTTTTTCTTACGCTCCAACCAATGTAATGACCTAAAAAACAACAAAATTCACAAAACTTTTTTTTTAGTTCTCAGGAGGATATGGAAATGTTCTAAAAGTGCCACGCCCGGACTGATATCACGGGGTTTGACTTAACTTCTGGATTCGTCACGGTGACCCAATCACACCCAGCAGCGAGGACCTCTTGCTGCTCCGGGCTGACGGAAACCGACTGTAAGGTGTCGTAGGCCAGGCTCTGGGCTGCACCAGCTGCGTTCACCCTCCCCGATAAACTCCGTCAATGATGCCCTCATGTCTGCGGACGGTTGGCACTCTGTCCAATCAGCGTCCGAGATAGGTTTGAAAAACGGCGCGTTCGGCCAATCGCAAAGCCAGGTGCTGACGTAGGGGCGGGAAGAGAGGCGTGGCTCTGAAATCTAGGGTGTCGCCGTGGTGGCTCTATTCGAAGGCGACGGCGGTTGGTCGGTCGTCTCTGTGTTTGTCCTCTTCTAAACTCCTCAAACGGACCCGGTACAGACTGTCGGTTCAGCTGTCAAGCGAGATCTGTGCGGTTCGGCGTTGCTGGGATGAAGCGGAATATCCTTAATTTGAATCAGATCGCTGGTGTAGTTTGAAGAAAGAGAGTCGGGCGGAGGAGCCATTTTGTCCCGACAGTGTGATAGAAAGAAAGACAGAGACATTAAAAACACCAAACACTACACTTTTCAGAGGAAACATACATCTTATATATTGCCTTCGGAGTTTAAAAAAATAGTCTACAGAGGAAATCAAAACAATTCAGCTGCGAAGAGACTGTCCGGTGTGTGTTTTCGGATAACACACACACACACACACACACACACACACACACACTTTCCCTTTAACACACACTCAGTCTCTATCCAGGGGAAACACAATAAGTCAATAGGGAAATAAATTATAACAATATTCCTATGAAATATGAGATATTCTTATGAAAATGTTGCCAAGTTATTACTCCCATTATACCACTTCTTTTTTCATTATGGTTTGCCCCAAGAACACATTAATATGCAAACTAT